TGCCTTTAATACAAGGGAGGAGATCAAGATTTTGAAGTTGGAGAGAGGACAATAGTGATGAACCAATGGAAACTTTGAAGATCCCAAAAGCTACTTGGATGGCTGATAGCACCCATTGGCCGGGAACTTGGACAGTTTCTGCTCCCGAGCATTTTAGGGGAGATCATGCCAGTATCATACAGGTAAGAATTCAAGAAGAGAATCGGAAGTGGTACATTTGTTTTAATGTTTTTCAATCCATTTGATTGATATGCTTATTTCATCTAAGATGCTGAACTCTATGAACTGCAGGTGATGTTGGACCCTCCCCGTGACGAGCCTCAAAATGGTACAGAAGGTGATGGAAATTCCATGGATCTGAGTGAGGTTGACATTCGTCTTCCAATGTTGGTTTATGTTACTCGTGAAAAGCGACCTGGTTATGATCACAACAAGAAGGCAGGTGCCATGAATGCACTTGTTTGAGCTTCTGCAATCTTGTTCAATGGCCCCTTCATACTTAATTTTGATTGTGACCACTACATTCACAATTCTCAAGCATTGAGAGAAGGAATTTGCTTTATGATGGACCAAGATGGGGAGTGTATTTGTTATGTCCAGTTTCCTCAGAGGTTTGAAGGAATTGATCCATCTGATCGCTATGCCAATCACAATACAGAATTCTTTAATGTTTACATGCGAGCTCTTGATGGACTTCAGGGTCCGGTATATGTTGGAACAGGATGCCTCTTTCGTCACACTGCCCTTTATGGTTTCGAGCCACCTCGGTTAGAAGATAACCCTGGTTGTTGCAGCTGCTGCTTTCCACGACTTAAAAAATCCGCAACTGTTGCTTCTCACCCGATGTTGACCATGAAGATGTTCAGTTGAAGGAAGTTGATGAAACGAATATCGCTCTCATTCCTAAGAAGTTTGGAAACTCGATTTTGCTTATTGAATCTGTGCTGGTGGCAGCAATTCAAGACCAGCCCCTTGCAGATCCTTCGGTCAAATATGGACGACCACCCGGTGCTCTCACTGTGCCTCGGGAACCCCTTGATGCATCCACAATTGCAGAGGCGATCAATGTTATCTCGTGATGGTATGAGGACAAGACCGAATGGGGCCAAAGCGTAGGGTGGATTTATGGATCAGTGACAGAAGATGTTACAGGGTATAGGATGCATAATCGAGGGTGGAGATCTGTTTATTGTGTGACCAAAAGAGGTGCTTTCCGTGCCACTGCTCCGATAAATCTCACTGATAGGCTTCACCAGGTTCTTCGTTGGGCCACTAGCTCGGTCGAGATATTCTTCTCACGCAACAATGCTCTACTAGGCAGCCCAAGGCTTATGTGTCGTTTGGTTCGCTTGAATCTCTTGGAATTCACCACTTTTCCATGTTTGGTTCAAGTTTTCAAAGGGGAATTTGAGTCTAATTCCATCAAATGAGGGAACGTAAATTTCATCCATAACATGATGGAATTGAAATCCTTTGGAGGAGAGAATGTAAAATTTGACCATACTACCCTCATCAATCTTTTGGTATTCGGGTCGAATTTTTTTTAAAAAAAAATTCGGGTTCAGGTCGGGTCGGGTTTTTTTAAGTGTGATATTCGGGTTGGGTTTAGGGTTCGGGTTGGGTTTAGGGGTTTTAAGTCACTGTTTTTATTGAATAAAAATATTTTTTTTATTATTTCGTGTCGGGTCGGGTTTCTAATTCATATATTCGGGTCAGGTTGGGTCGGTGAAACTTTATTTTGGTGGGTCGGGTCGGGTCTCGAGTGGAGGTTCCCTTGTTCTTGGGTTGGGTCGGGTGGACCAAAAACCCGACCCATGGTCATCTCTAATTGCAATGATTTTAACTTATGATATTTATTAGCATGTTTTTATAATTTATTGAAATGAATAATCAATCAATAAAATGAAAATTTAATATTTTTAAATTTTTTATAATATATTGCTACATGTAAGTTATAAAATAAATTAAAAAAAGAAAAAAAAGAAGAAGGGCAATTCTGTCATTTTACATTACTGATATCAAATTCATCTAATATGTCTGCGAACCAAATAGAATATGGAATTGGATTCCAATTCAATTTCCTGCCAACCAAACATGTTTTAGATTCAGATTCCAATTCCTGACAGATTCCAATTCCTTCACAGATTTCAATTCCTTCACAGATTTCAATTACTTCACAGATTTCAATTCCTTCACAGATTTCAATTCCTTCAGAAACATTACAGTGAACCAAACGCCACCTTACATTCCTACAGAGGATTGCTTATCTCAACGTGGGGATATATCTTTTTGACAAACCTCGTAATTATCAAATAAATAATCATTTTTCTCGGATAATTATACTAAAAAAGTAATGTAGAGAAGAAGGGTGTCGGTTCACATGGATTTGAAAATTTTTAATTCTAATTCGATTTGATCTTGAACCAAAAAATCAGTAAAACATGTAAATTAAAAAGAAAAAGGAATTTTAAAGTAAACAAGTAAAATAAAATAAAATTAAAACTAAGACGTAAACAATAAGGAAAATTGAGAAAATAAATTGTAAAGAAATAATAAAGATGAGAAATATCATCCAGCTTCGCTTCGTCTCAATCCATCTCGATTACTGATATAGATTTTACTTCAGATGCTTGCCAGTTACAGTCTACAAGGTCGTAATTTGCTCTTCTCTCTTGTGAACTGATTTCCAAAGTCAATGCCAATGTTGGTTTTGAACTGGAAAAGCATGTGTTCGGATTATAGTGTCTCGATGAGAATCGAACTCGATCTTGATTTTCCTTAGCGAACAACTGCTAAGATTGTTCTTAGAGAATTAAATTTGCTACAAGCCGATTTTCCTCTCCAACTATAGATCACAACGTTAAACAAACCAATATACTCTATACACTCCTTGGATTGAAGATATTGAGATGTTGAAGAAAGGTCGATTGTCTCTCCTTGTTTGCAAAAAAAATCAAGAAAGAAATCTTAAGACGTTATGTACCTTTTCGATTCTCACGAGACTGGATTGAGTTGTCGCTCAACTATCAGCTAACCGAAAAGTTTAGCCAAGCAAATCATGCTTGGCGTTTAGAATGAGAGTAGATAGCGAAGAAAAATAATTTTATTGAAATAAATTGAAACAAAGAAAAAGCCAGAACCGGTTCTATATTGAATTCTAAATTTGTACCCTCTCAAGCTTCACCCCTATTGGGGTAGTTATAGTCAAGAGTTAAAAATCCTATATAAAAATTCTATGCAAACTAAATTTCTAATAAAATAATAAAATCTCTAATGTTTAAATTCAATTACAACTTTTAAATTCTTAAAGAATTGTGGTTCACCTTGCTTTTCTCCTTTAGTTTTGCTACTTGAAATATTTAATGAGAGTTTGTGATTAGATCGAACTTTGAATCTGATTGACTTCGACTTTTCCCAAATAAATAGGAAAATATGTTTAATTTAACTTTTAATTGTTATTTCCTGAAAAATAGAGTCATGCACGTATTCGAATTAAAACAACCCAAATTAACACTATAAAAGAAGTAACAATGATTAATTAATAACAAAATATTAACCAAATAAAACACTAGTAACCTTCACTTTCATATTCCTCATTGTTTACTGCTTCCTTCCCGCACTTTCTCTCTTTTCGAATCAATTCATTGTTCAGACACTCAACGTGACTTTCCTTGTTTACCTCTTAGCAATCACACTGACCCTTTGCGCTCTAGCGGTGCTAGAGATCAAGTGTTCCGGCATCGAACTAGAAGAGTGGTGGAGGAATGAACAGTTTTGGTTGATTGGAGGCACCAGTGCTCGTCTTGCTGCAGTACTCCAGGGGCTATTAAAGGTTATTGCTGGCATCGAAATATCATTCACCCTTACATCAAAATCAGCCAGAGACGATGTGGATGATGAGTTTGCTGATCTCTACGTTTTCAAGTGGACATCTCTCATGACACCACCACTCACCATCATATTCGTTAACTTGATCGCTATAGCTTATGGAGTTCTTCGAACGGTCTACAGCACCGATCCCGAATGGAGTCATCTGCTAGGAGGTGTGTTCTTCAGCTTCTGGGTGTTGGCACATCTCTACCCCTTTGCAAAGGGTCTTATGGAGTTCATCGGATTTTGCATTGCGCACTGCTCGAATCTTTTTCTTTTTCCTGCTTTTAATATATCTAAGAATCCATTAATTAAAATAACATTTGGTATGTCCGTAATTATTATATATCATGTAATATTCGTAATAGCTACAACCGTGACACCTTATTCGTAATATACGATAACTTATTTCATGAACCATTTTCACCATCTCATGCATCTATGATCTTTAATCAATTATATGAGTATATGACATCACATTTATTTTCCACGTCATATTTTCTTATATATTAAAATTTTCAAATTATCGTCTTCTTTATCCCATCATCTTCTTTCCTAATTTTAAAGCATCAAATCTCCATATTTTGTTTTACTTTTTCTTTAATTTCACCATAATAATTTAAACTAAAAATCACCATCTTCTTCTTTATCCTATCCTTTTCTTAATATAATCATCTGGATCGCCAGCATTTGCGAGATTAAAATCTAAAATATATAATTATATGCAAATTTTTTGCTTGATGGGTCTTGTTCATTACCTTTTTTATTATATCTTTTAATGTGATTTTGTCGGTTAAAGGAAAAAAAACAAATAATATAAAAATATATAATAATAAATAATAAATTCAATTTTTAAATTTTTTTAAAGATAAATATGACGTCTACTCATTTAATTAATTAAAAATGATTAATGAGATGGTAAAAAAGTTCATAAATTAATTTCTCGTAATATACAAGCTCACTTGACATATATTACAAACAGTAAATCATCCATGAAATGACAAATTAAATTATTTAAACCTAACATATTTATCTACTGGTACAAATAATTATAAAGATTGAACGAAAATATTTTGAGCACCAAATCAACGCAATGCCAATTTAAAAGTACGAAACACAAATCTATTACTTCACGCATCGGACCGTGGTTTTCTCTTCCGGTGTGCTTTTGCGGTCATGGTTTGCTTCTTATGGCTTACGTCGATTTTCAACCTTCCGGATTCGTTGAACCTTTCCTTTTCGATCTGATCAATTACACAACCGGGAAGTGTTGCGGGGTAACGCCATACATCGTAACAGGACGAGTAGTACATATAATGCTGCCTGAAATTCTGCATGGCGGCTCGCCGTTTCGGTGTTAAGAAGGTGTAGCTTCGGCTCTCGAGCCAGGCATCTTTGTCCTTGCAGATGGTGAAGTCGGGGTATTCTTGGATGGGATCCATAGGGCAACCCTCGAGGACCAACTCTCTAAACTCCGCCGTGAACGGTGCATAGTCGTAGTTAACTTTGATTTTGCCACCGCCTGTGGCCCAGCTCGAGGCGTCCCAAATGGTGGCGTATAAAGCCATTGGCTTTGATGGGTAATCATCGCCCATTTCGTCGCTGTGAATCACTTCCCTAATCGGAACCTCATCGACGAAAAAGCTGAAGAAATCCAACGTCACTAAGACATAACATATGTAAAGTAGTATCTTTTCAAAAAAAAAAAATTTAACGTATTAATACTTAAGCATTCTGAAGTCTCAAATACTCTAATTAATATTTTAAGAAGAACAACATCTTTTTTATCATCGTTATCTCGGGTAACTTAATGAGTTCGAAAATGGGAAATTGAAATTTAAGGACAAAACAGAGGAAATCAAGGTGTATTAAGACAACTCACATAATGTTCTTGGCCGTCCACAAAATGCTGTACCTATGGAACTCCTTTGATGGATCGAACCATAGGCTGTAACGTTCTTCTCGGCCTCGGGTTATGCTGCCATTGCCATACAAATTAGTCTGGAATCTCCATGGCTGTCCTTGTACATTTCCTAAAAACTCGATGTCTAATTCGTCATGTGCTTTCTCGAATACGTCACCGTTTGATGTCTGCATTCACCATGAAAATTTTTTTTTAATGAATTAAAGACATGATTAAAGATTAAGAACCCAGAAAACTTACGTAGAAGGCAACCACAACTCCGGCAGTATTATCCGATGGCAACTTGATTTTGGCACTGAAAAATCCATGCGCATACATATTTGATGAAACGAAACCGGACCCTGAATTCCATCAATAACACAACAGAAGTCGAAGTAAAAACAAAGGTTTGCATGGACTTGTACTAAATCAAGCATAAAATTTTGTAAGTTTGTTCTAACATAAAATTTTACGTCCGTCTCTATATATACCTGAATGAACATTGAGGAGGAGGCGGACACTATTGCCGTCAGGGGAGCGAACGAGATTGAAATCACCGAAGAGAGGGTTGTATCCTTCGTCAAAGGAGATGGTGGTGAGGTCGAAACCTGCAGAACTAATGAAGCAGAAGAACCAAGAGGAGAAGAAGAAGAAGTACGAAAAGAAAACGAGGAAGAAAGGTGTTGACGACATCTCTGAAAAAAAGAAGCAATGCAAATGATTCATAATTTTTTTCGGATTTTGATTTCTGTGATATATTTATACACACGATGAAAGAAGGGTTGGGAGTTACTTTCTGGATCGCCAACGGTTTTTTTTTTTTTTGATAAATCAGAATTTTATTATCCAATAGCAATATAAATTTACAACCAATCACCAATCAAAACAATGAACATTACAAACAAACAAAAGAACAAAAGATTGGTTAAACTATACTCCAAGCATTACAAACGAGGAAGTTAGTGCAATCAAGTCTGTTTATAGTTTTTCTTCTAAGCCTTATACTAACTATTTCAATGATTTCTTTGAGCAAGTTGTCAACAGTTCGAGATCTTCCTTGAAATAGTCTGCGATTACGTTTTTGCCACAAAAAATAAGTATAAGCATTCTAAGAAATTTTCAGTATAGTGGTAATTAGAGACTTCTCTTTTCACATAGAGCTTGCGCGAGAGACCATTTCTTCCCAAGTCATTGCAGTGTAGTTCATACCATTCAATTGGAGAACAGATTTCCAGAGTTCTATAGCCAAGGGGCATTGAGAAAACAAATGATCCTTGCTTTCGTTAGAAGCCCTGTAATTAACGCACAGACCAGCAGTGACTAATCCCATGCGTTGCAAGCGATCACAAGTTGATAACCTGTTTAAGATGGCCATCCAAGAAATCAAATTATGCTTTGGAAGGTGCATAGGATACCATACTAGACGGTGCCAGTATACTTTTTGACCTTGCAATCGGATTTTCCCCCAAATTTCCTTTGCCTGCTGAATACCAGAAGAATAAAGAGGAAATGCAAAATTTCTCAGTTTGAGAATTCTTCTAATATTCCAGCTGATATTAGACCCAATGTCGTGTAATAAAAATTATATAACCCATGCAAAGTTCCAAACTGAGTCATCGATGCCTAATCAAGTGTAGGAGACATGCCGAGTTCCAACTTTATATATCTTTTAACACTAACCACCTTCATATTTAGGTTGATAAATCGACGACCAACCAACCTCCCTTTACCTCTCACCGTTCCAAAAATAAATTAATATTTTCACTCACTACATTTCAAAATTTTATAATATTTTATTTTATAACCTTATAACAAAAAAAAGTCACTCACTTCTCATTTTTTTTAATACAAGTCTATGGTATTATTAAAAACTAAAAACTGTCTAAAATTATAATAAGAATTTATATTATCATCGTAAATTAAATACATAATTTTAATATTTTCTATAATATTGAAATTAGTCACTTTAGATCATATAAAGACTATACGTGGAAAAGGTTAAAATTCCAACAAAAAGACTTCAACAGAAAATATAATACGAACAAATCTAATTGCAATGGCAAACGAACCACAAAACAGGATTAAACCATTGAAATACCATAAAGAACTGCAAATCAGAGTCGAGCATTGTGTAAAATTGTCCACAAAAGCAAAATCACGTATCCAAAATCAATCTGAGGATCCATAGCGGTGAAGATCATAAAGATTACAAGTAAGCACCATCTTGATCAGTCGTGACGTTGTCAAATCTCACCTTGAGAAAAAATAAGGTAAACTACTCCAATGGTCACTAATATTTGGGTAAGTTTTCGTTTTCACCACTGATGTTTTAAAAGTTACAAATTGGTCACTAATGTTATTGTTTGTTACAAATTGGTCATTCGCCGTTAACAGGCGTGACGGAAAACACACGTGGCCTGTTAATAGCAGTTAACAGGCTTACCTGGATGGTATAATTACACAAATAGTCCATGCTATTTATATATTCTTTCAATTTGATCATAGTTTTAATAAATTAAATTTTTTTAATTCTTATAAATAATGATATATTTTTTAAAAAAGGAAATAAAAAATTAGTTATAAAAACAAAAAAAATAACCTTTTTTTAATGTTAGGGTAAACTAATAAAAACATAAAAATTAATGTTTTTTAATAAAATTAACAATTTTTTTTCTTCCCAAAACTTTTTTTTTAAAAAAACAAATACTAATATTAAAATCTTGTTTGTGAAGAAAAAATTTTCACCTTACAGTACAAAGCATACAAGTCAAAAGGAGAAGGAAACTGCATTTGCTCTTGCTGCTCTCATGGAGATCCCTTTACAGTACAAAGCATGCATGGAACTTGGCATTCTTGGGTGAGTTAATCTTCGGCAATTAACTTATTAGTTTATTCTCACGTATAATTTGTAATCCCTCATGGACTATTTTTAAATTTGTATTGAACAAATCAAGACAACGAACCAGAAAAGCCAAGAAAATAGTTCCACGGCCTCCTCCAGTTTCCTCCCTTCCACCTGCTCTGCCCGAACGCATACCAAGCAATGTCTCGGCATCACCGGCGGTTGCATCAGATGATCAGCAGGTATGTATGTGTATGCATGTATTTATGATCAAATGAAATGTTGCATGCATGCATGCTTTCCTTTCTGTAATATATATTTTATGTTGTAAAATTTTCCCATAATTAATTTTGTTTGCAATTGCAATGTAATGCAGTCTGCATGCCCAATATGCCTAACGAATGCAAAGGACTTGGCCTTTAATTGTGGGCATATGGTGAGCAATTCTTTTATTTTTCTTCTTATCCTTTATATTCTTTCAATAAATATTTTTTTTCTAAATGAAAATGTTAATATAATTAAAAATGTATTATGATGACCCGGAAGCAATCGTTCGCGGTGTCTAATTCAGAACTCTGCTGATATGGCTCGTGCTGTATGCTTCTGCCCTGGTGTATCGCCATGGTTTAAGTTTCTGTCTTGGTACAGTCTGCTTCGTGTGTACCACTGCATTATTTTTCTGTGATTGTTTTGTTCTCTAGTCAATGTTCATGTCTGAGCCGATTGGTTGCTCAGGTTCATAGTTTGATTGTATGGTTGTTCATTGTTGTATTATTTGTTATGCTACTCGGTTTTATCCCATCCTAAGGGACACTCTTTTTCCTCCGTATAGATTTAAGGAGGTTTTTTAACGAGGTCATGGTTACTTTGTAATTTATTTAATACAAAGTACCTTATTTTTCAAAAAAAAAAATGTATTATGATGACAGACTTGCAGGGAATGTGGGCAAAGAGTGTCTAATTGTCCAATCTGCCGTCAAAGGATTACTAAATCGTCTTCTGCTGTTCACTTGATCTTCATAATGCAGTCTTCCAAGGGCTGATTTCAGAGTTAATCAACATTTTTATATTAAATTTGTACTTGTTGAATTTGGACTTGTTTTTTTTTTTGCGTTGAGTCTGCCCTCGTACAATTTCAGAATGCCCATTTGTACAAAATTATTAATATGAATGCATGAATATATTAGTAGTCTGTTTTAAATAATTATTAGTAATTACTTTAATTTCTTCTTGAAAACTCTAATTGCTTTTCCTAGTTTTGCAATTGGTTAACAACCACAAATCATAATCTTCATTCCAGTTTAGTGCCTATAATTTATTTCGTGCCTAATTGAAAAGTTGAATTCAAAAATAAAAGAAATGAAAAGTTGAATTCAAAAATAAAAGAAAAGAAAATATTCAGAAAATTAGAGTTGTGTTGAGATTTAATTAAAAATAAAATTATATATAAATTTGACTAACAATACTCATTTTTACTTTTTTATATATTATAAAATAGTAAAAATATTTATATATTTGTTGAATGGATAGATGAAAAATTGAAAAGTAATTCAATATTTATCTAACGTTAATTTTTTTATAACTAAAAAAACATTTAATTATTTTGTATAAAAATATATCATTATTTATAAGAATTAAAAATAAATATATTTTAATTTATTAAAATTAGGATCAAATTTAAAAATATATAAATAAAATGGACTATTTGTGTAATTATACCATCCAGGTAGGCATGTTAACTCTGTTGACAGGCCACGTGTATTTTCCGTCACGCCTGTTAATGGCGAGTGACCAATTTGTAACAAACGATAATGTTAGTGACCAATTTGTAACTTTTGAAACATCAGTGGTAAAAACAAAAATTTACCCAAATATTAATGACCATTAGAATAGTTTACCCGAAAAATAAATAAAAGAACGAACAAAAGATTGACGATTCTTCTTCACTTGTCTTTTTCTAATGGTATAAGAAAAAAAAGAGATACATAACTAATAGTGCTGATTTTTTTTCAATAAAAAAACCTTTCTAAATTTAAATTTCTGAATTTCAATTATATTATAATATAACAGCAAGTATGCGTTTATGTAAACCCAGAGCATAAGTTGTTACACAGTTATAGGTGCCACAAAGACAAAGAAAAACACAAAGGTATAATATTTTTATTAAAAACTAAAAAAGAAATAAAAATAAAAGAAAATCAGCAGACGGTAATCAACATCACGACAAGTGTTTTCATCGACTAAATAAAATTAAAGAAGAAAAAATTGATCTAATCTATGAAAAAGACACAAACTCTAAAGGAAAAAAAGGAAGAATCTTCTTTTCTTTTTAAACTTATTACATTTATTTTAAATTATAGTTGCTAATTTTACTTTTTGTTTATATTGTGTTTGACATATTTTACATTTACAGCAGCAAAATAGTTAAATAATTTTTTTTTAAAAATGATTAGTTCTATATTAGTTTTATAGAGATTAAAATTTATTCGAATGAGTCAATTTTTTTTATGATAATTCAATTTTGATTTAAATGACTAAATGGCATT